ATGTAAGACATTTGTTTAAGTCACATAGCTTGATCAGAGGGGCCAGTGTCAGCACTCATGTCAGAATATGTGCTCTCAACATGTCAATAATTATCAAAATTGGAATGCTCTAAGTCTTCAGGAAAGAAAATGGAGTTACCTGCTGGGCAAGAAGAGCTGGTTGTATTTCTTTCCTGTGGAGTGACAGGCCAGGTTTCATTTGTCTGCATTGGAGAAGATGAAGCAGTCTCTGAAATAAAACGGGTGAAAAAGCTCTATTCTATTTGTAGAGAGAAATCTCCATGCCCCTCTGCCCAAGAAAAGTAGGCAACAAAGCTAAAATTAGAAATTACTCTGAACTCTCACTTAGAAATTTATTCAGACATAACATTGAGGCATCGCACCGCCCTCTGGATGGTTCATTATCAGCACAAATCGGATGTAGACAATGGTCTTGGTAGTTATATATGGATACAATTATTTCACACTGTTCACACTCAGGATCTCCCTGAATGCCCAATGCCTATGGCTGTGCATCCCTGTCAGACACCTGATCAAGCTTTTACCCACACAAATGACATTTCATTTTCATGGAACAGAGTTGGGAGTTTACACTAATCTGTCCTCCCATGGTCGCAACAACCCCAATCTGGGTTTCTTTTATGTTGTTCAAGTTCCCAGTTATCCATCCACACGTTTCCAGGGAGATGCACACGTGGACCAGCACAGGACACATACTCACAACATTTAACTCCTTGAAGGTGATTACGTTGCCCAATGTCTCGACTTGGTAATGATTGACAAGCCTCAAAGCCAGGTTCCTGGTAGACCTTGACCCACCTCCTACTACAGCTACATTCTGCGCACTCTTTTGTAAGACTCATTTCCTGTGTTATCTGCCTCATCTGCCATTTCTCACCACAAAGCCTCTCCCCAAGATCTTTATATTCTCTCTCCTGAGAGCCCCACAGAACTTGACAGCAAGTTAGTGGTGCTGGCAGGACAAGAATCCTCAAACCTTCCCTTTGCCTCTCCTTGGTCTTCCTGTGTCCTCTTTCCCACCATAAACATCACATTGCAACATCACCCTGCCTTATGTTCTGAAGCGGTGTCATGTGTTCCCCCAAGACTGAACCCTGTACCAGGATGCGGCTCTCTTTAGGATGAAAGAACAGGATAATATAAAAAGTCAGATGGTCAGAGTCTATCCAACTAGATCTGTGCAAAAGACCACTTGACCTTAACTTCTTTCCCGAGTTTGACTTTTATGGGCATCTTTCTTTGCTCCCCTGCTCCTACAGCTTACACCCAACCATCCCATGAGTATTCTAGGAAACTGGCATGTGCTAGAGTCACTGAGGACAGGCAGGGAGTGGATGTGAAGGTAAACGTCTCTGCATTGAATTAGCTCTGGTGTTCACCTCCCTCCTGTACTGTAAAGCTCAACTCTAAACTCAAACTCTTAGGAAACTTTTAGAATAAGTATAAGGCTCAATTCAATTACTAATAATACTAATAATTCTCAGGAGGTCACACAGATCTTTACTTCTGAATCTCTGCTTTAAGTGAAGTAAAAAACATATATATGTTTGCTAAACCAAGTCCACTAACCCGCACACTTTTGCAGGCACATACGAAATCAAACTAAGTATAAATAAGCTAAATCAATATTGAGAAAGTCAACGATTCTCCCACATGTTCAGCTGCCTGGAGCAAAGCTACTTTTCTTACAAACTGTATGACTCTAAAATCCCAGTTTTAACCTAAAGCCCTCTCCTCCAAACTCAGCTCATAGCCCAAATGCTTCAGATCCCTCCTGGTTAAATACACACATGGTTCAATGGGAGTCAAGGAAAATCAATATGTTCCATCAGATTTTTTTAGCTAAGAGGCTGAAACATCTCTGTTGCTCCTCTGAATCCAAACCACCTCAAGGAGTCAAAGAGTTTTGAAGGCTTTGAGAATCTTCACTAAAAGTTACCTTTTTAATCTTAGAAATAGAAGGTTTGAGCCTAAACTGGTCCTCAAGAAGCCAAGCTATTTCCCCACACATACATCAAATTACTCACTCACTATTTGTATTAAATCTAAACGCTTAACTATCAGAAATTTGAAGTGTAAAGCATATAGCCTGAGTTGAAAAAAGGAGCCATATTTTCTAAACCCTGAAGTCCTTAAGTCTGATATCATTATATAAATAGCTTTTTTCTATTTCTATGCAACATAATAAAGTAAAGGATACTTGAAGCAAAACTGTGTAAGTCAGTGAATGACATAAAAAGACAGGATAGTTATAAAAGGCTTTTTCAGTGAATATGTCTGATTAGGACAAATTCATCCTAATATAACCTCAGTCAGTGCTTATGATAGAAGGCACCATCCAGTAGTTATAACCACAGCCCGAAATTCAGATTAATGAAGACTGAATTCTAACTCAGTCATTTTCTATCCACATGTCTTTCAACAATGATGATTTTAGAGAGAGATTGGAAAGGAGAGAGAGAGGGAGAGAGAGAAACATTGGTTTCTCACCCCATTTATTTATGCCTTCATTGGTTGATTCTTATATGTGCCCCAGCTGGGGATTGAACCTGCAACCTTGGCGTATAGTGAAGATGCTTTATCCAACTGAGCCACCTGGCCAAGGCTCGAGAAGTTTTCTTTAATTTTTTCTTTTTATTTTTTAATCTTCACCCGACGACATTTTTGCATTTATCTTCAGACAGAACAAGAGGGAGAGAGGGACTAAGAGAGAGAGAGAGAAACATAGACGTGAGAGAGACACATCGACTGGCTGCCACCCACACAACCCAACAAGGGCCGGGGATGAACTGCAACCGAGGTACGTGCCCTTAGTGGGAACCGAACCCGGGACTCTCTGATCCGCGAGCTGCCGCTCTAACTGCTGAACAAAACCAGCCAGGGTAAGAAGATTTTTTAAATCTAAACTCTATTAAGTATAAAAGAGTCTTGGATAGGGACCATTGACTTGAAAGCTCTTCTTTTGAGAGATCTAGTACAAACCAAAATCGTGCCAATTTTTGCCTTGAAGCGGAAAAAAACTGTTTTTCAACAAATATTTGAGAGTCTCTATTATACACGTGACATTTCTAGAAGCAGAGCCCAGCAAAATGTCTATAGAGGGCCGGACAGTGAATGTGCTAGGCTCTGGGGGCCCTATGGTCTCAGTGGCAGCAGCTCAACTCTGTCAGTGTGAAAGGAGCCATCTACGGAGAGTATAAGGAATGGGTTTGGCTGTTTCAATAAAACTTTATTTATAAAACAGTTGGTGGGCTTGTTTTGAATCAGATTTAGCTCCAGGGCTATATTTTGCTGACCTTGACCTAAGTTGTAGTCACAGGTTTAAGAAGAATAATGCAATCCTGTCACTCCAGTTTAAAATATAATCTAGAGAAACATGCAAAAAAAAAAATCTGATCAAAGAATACGGAACAAGAAAGAGGAGGAAACCTATCAGATTGTCTAATGAATTTGTTTTCTTCAATGGCAAATAGTTTCCTTAGGAAGCAGCCAAAACACACTACTGAGGAAAAGCTCTAATTGAGATTGAGAAAGAAACTCAGCCTGTGGGAAATGCAAGAAAACTTCTGCAAAGAATTAGTTATTGAAAGCTGAGAGTCACGTTGGCTCAGTTACGAACTTTCTTCCCACTTGATAGAGCAGTGACCTTGTAAATGCCTCCCTTTGAAAGGATTGTTAGGCACCAAAAAAAAAAAAAATTATTTCTAATTCATTTCTATATCATCTTTTTTAAATTTACCCAGATCAAAATAATTCCACAACTTCAAAAAAGTTACAATCATAATTTCTTCACCTCATGCTCCCTCCTCTCCCCTGTCTACAGCACACTATTCCGTCGGCTTATTTGGGCTTCCCTGAGCTGTCTCCCAGGTGTAGAGTTCCTAGAGCCAGCTGTTTTCGTTATCTGAACTGACCTCACCTCACTTCCTTCATGTGGGAAAAAGGTGAAGCCTAAAACGTGGGAGGTGACAAAATAATGTTTCTCTTAATTCAGAGAGAAAGATTATTAAGGTCACAGTTATTGGGTTCTACTATCAACATAAAACCACAGTGGACAGAGATTTATTCAGAGAGAGCACCAGAAACCAGGAAATCCTCAAGAACCTACGTTTTTCATCGAATGACAAGGCTTCAGAGCCTTGTCCACATTGAAGTGGAAGAAATCCCAGATTTTTGAAATCGTTAAAGCAACTGGTGAACAGTTCCTAGGATGCGAATATTTTCATATTGCAGTAACATCATTCTAATGTTTAAACACACAGTATCGTGAGATGATGTGAGATGTGCTTCAGAAAGCCCATGGTGCGGCCAGGGAGAGGTGGCTCTGTGTAGGGACACAACGCATGTGCAGCAAGACCGAGATGATGATTGCTTGGCTGCTGTTGCAGCTACTTGACAGTGCCCTCACGACACAAAAGGATTGAATGGTACCTTCAGTAAATCGTGTTATTATGAAAATTAAGTGATGTAATACTTGCTGAAGATTTAGTATGGTTTCTGGCAAACAGAGGATTGAGTAAATGTTCATTTCATTGAAATCTTGTTCTCAAGTTGAGGGTCTGACTTCAGCGTGGACTCTCGGATATACATTCAGAAATTCCTGTGAGGACAGGATCTCATCTAACTGATCCTTTTCTGGCTTTCCCTATATTTTCCTCATAAACTTGTGCTCAACTGGGCTGAATTCATACCATCCTCATTAGACATCAAAGATCAGTAGTGGTCTGTGGTTGGTTGGCCAATAATGAACACCTTTGACAATCAGTATTTTAAAAAGTATGGGTCCCCTCACTTTGAAAATACATATAGGTACAAAAGCTCCATACAATAAGAGATGAGGGTCCACAAATCTTGTAAAGCCCTGGTTTGGAGCCCAAGGAAGAATTCATACCCTAGATTGTACTTCTGCCTTAACACCTGTTCTAGGAGGTCTAAGCCCTCTCATTAGAAGGTCTGTGGATTCAGAAACACCAACGCACCTGTCTTGAGTTTCCGCATGGGTGCTGCAGTTGTAGGAGCAGAGGTGAAGACCGTAGGTGATGCTGGAGCACCGGTGACCTCAGGTTGAGCCATAATCAACATGACAGCAAGGATTAATCAAGCAGCAGGAAACAAGAGCTTTATGTTGGGCTGTACACATCCAATGAGAGACTGCGCCCCAGAAGAACTGAGCGCTAATCTCCCCTGCACTCAGAGCTCTGGTCCTGGTTCTCCCAGGATCTGACAGGGGAGGGTGTGAGGACAAGCCCACAGGAAGGGAACAGCTGTATTGAAAAGTACATTCTGGGAGGTTCAAAGGTGAAAATGGATACCTGGGAGTATATACCTTCATAAAGATCGGTGAGGTGAAGAAAACATCTAGAACCTGGATGTTAGTTCTTAGTTCTCTAATTGGTGAATGACTGAGATTTAAACGGTAGTACCCAGGCCCAGAATTTTACTAAATAAATAGCATTGAGTTTAGTAAGTCTTGTGAAGCCCATGTTTGAAGCCCACAGAAGAAATCATATCCTGGATTGGACTTCTGCCTTGACACATGTCCTGGGTGGTCTCCATCCTCTCATTAGAAGGCCCAGGACTTCAGAAACATATAAATCTACCTGTCTTGCCCTGGCTGGTTTTGCTCAGTGGTTAGCGTGTCAGCCCTCGGACCGAAAAGTCTCGGGTTCAATTCTGGTCAAGAGCACACACCTGGGTTGCAGGTAGTGCCCTGCCCTGGTTGGGGTCATGCAGAAGGCAACCAGTCGATGTGTTTCTTTCACATGATATTTCTCTCTATCTCTCCCCCTCTCTCCCACTCTATCTGAAGATAAATGGAAAAATATCCTTGGGTGAGAATTAAAAATAAATAAATAAATAAATAAATAAATAAATAAATAAATAATAAATTTACCTGTCTCGAATTTCTGTTTCAGTGCTGGCGTTGTAGGAGCAGAGTTGGAGACCTGAGGGGATGTTAGGAACTTGGTGACCTTAGGTGGAGCTAGAAATCAACAAAGCAAGGATTAATCAAGCACCAAGGAAAAAGAGGTTTGTACTGGGCCTGTACAGGACAAGCCTGCAAAAATAAAAACAAACAAAAAAACCAAACAGCTGCACTGAAAGGTATCTATTTGAGGATGTTCAGGATTGATACAGGTTACAAGCGTTGCTCACTGAAGCACTTTGGAAATACCAACCATGCACATCAGATGTATGCGTCTTTCTACACATTGATGAGGTGGGGAAAATTTCTAAAGCCAGGACATGGCTTTGTCATCTCAGTGGTGAATGTTTAAAAATTAAACAGTAGTGCCCGGCCAGTGTGGCTCAGTGGTTGAGCATTGATCGACCCATGCACCAAGCGGTTGCCGGTTCAATTCCCGGTCAGGGCATATGCCTGGGTTATGGCTCAATCCCCAGCAGGGGACATGCAGGAAGCAGTTGATTGATGTTCTCTCTCATCAATGTTTTTCTCTCTCTTTCCCTCTCCCTTTCTTTCTCTCTAAAGCAATGAAGAGTTTTAAAAATTAAACAGTAGTTACAGGCCCAGAATGTGTACTCAATAAATGACATTCATTTCAATCAGTCCTGAGGATACCCTCCCAAGTATCCTGCACCATAAAGGAAGATTAACTCACACCCACAACATATGCAACATAACACAGAGGATGTATACAATATACATTTGAATAGAAGTAGGACTAGACCATTTAAGGTCTCTTCCCACCTAAGAGATAACAACAGCTAATGACTTTGGCTCTTTCCAGGGTGTGTAGGTGTTCAAACCATTTATGGAAGGTCTTAGAACTACACAGAGAGAGAGCTGAAACCAGAATTCAGTCCAAACACAGTGTCTGGCACAAAAGCTGATAAATGAAGGAATGATTCGAGAAAATATACTTTTTGCCCTGGCCAGTGTTACTCAGTGGTTAGAGCATTGGCCTGTGCATCGAAGGGTCTCAGATTAGATTCCCGGTCCAGGGTGTGTACCTGGGTTGTAGGTTCAGTCCCTGCTATGATTGGGGCCCATGTGGGAGGCAACCAGTAGATGCCACTCTCAATCTCTCTCTCTCTCTCCCTTCCACTCTCTCTAAAAAAAAAAAAAAAAAATCGATGGAAAAAATATCCTCTGGTGAAGACGAACAACAAACAAACAAATAACAAAAAAAATGGGGAAAAAAACAATGTATACTTTTTTCTCACTGGTCACCTTTTTCTCCTGCAACAGCTTCTTTGAATCTCAACTCTACTAACTAGATAAAAGAGAACCATCATACAAAAGACCATTGATTTAAAAGATCTTTTTTTGAGAGATACAGTTTAACTGGGAATACAGCCAATTTTTGACTTGAAGTGAAAAAACTTTCTTTCAACAAATATTTGTGAGTGTCCATCACATTCAAGGCATGAATCTAAAGTCCAGGTCAGCAAACTATTGGTCAATGGTGAGACCGAAGAGGGATGGTGAACACATAATACAATATGCAGATGACGCATGATAGAATTACATACCTGAAGACTATATCATTTTAATAACCAATATCACCCCAAAAAATTCAATAAAAATTTTTCTTAAAGTGTTAGGGGGCCATGGTCTCAGTGGCCATTGTTCAACCCTATCAGTGTGAAAGTAGCCATGCAGCAGATAGTATAATGATTGGATATGGCTGTTCCAATAAAACTTTATATGTAAAACCTGCGGTGGGCCTGTTATCCCTGAATGGAAGGCCCAACTTCAGAGAGGACTAAAGGAACTCCACTCAGGTTTCCTGGTGGAGACAGAACCTCAATAACCTGACACTTCTCTGGCATTACCCAGATTGTCCTCATAAACCTGTGCTCAACTGAGCGAAATCCACATCATTAGATGTCCAATATCTGGAGTCTGGGGGGTTTTGACTAATGATGAATCCCTTTGAGAATCTGATTTTTAAAGATGGGTCCCCTCACTCTGAAGATACATATAGGAACATTAGATGCATGTAATATGGGACAAGATTTCACATATCACATGAGGCCCAATGGAACCCAGGGAAAAACCTTTAGCATATAAGAAACTCTGCCTCAGTGCATGCCCTGGGTAGTCCACCTCCTTTCATTAAAAGACCCAGGCTTCAGAAACACACCAATTTACCTGTCGTGAAATTCTGCCAGTGTGCTGGCACTGTAGGAGCAGAGGTGGCGGCCTTAGGTGATGCTGGAGCACCGGTGACCTCGGGTGGAGCTGGAAATCAACATGAAAGCAAGGATAAATCAAGCAGCAGGAACCAAGAGCTTTATGTTGAGCCTGTACACACACATCCAATGAGACTGTCCCCACCCAAAACTGGGCTCTAATCTCCCCTGAGCTCAGAGTATTGTCCTCAGTCTACTGGAATATGACAGGGGTGGGATTGAGGACAAGCCTGCAAAAAGAAAACAGCAGCTTTGAAAAGTACATATTCTGGGATATTCAGGGTCACATAGGTGCCTGGGTTTATTCACTGAAGCACTTTGAAAACACCAGCCATGCATGTCAGATTTATGTGTCTTTCTACACACTGGTGAGGTGGGGAAAATGTCTAGAGCCAGGACATGACTTTGTCTTATCAGTGTTGAATGACTAAGAATTATACAGTATTTCCAGGCCCAGAGTCTTTACCCAATAAATAGCATTTATTTCAGTTAGTCCTGAGAATATCCTCCCAAGAGTTCTGCACATTAATGAGAATTAACTCACACCCACCGCACATGCAAGGTAACACAAATGATTTATACATTACACATTTGGGTGAAAGAGGAATTAAACCACTAACGGTTCCTTTCCAACTAAGAGATGACAATAGGCAATAACTTTGGCTATTTCCATGACAGAACCGATTTGGGATTTCAAAGCACAGAAGTTCTCGGAGCTACCCAGAGAGAGAGCTGAAACCAGAATGAAGTCCAAACACAGTGCCTGGCACAGAAGCCCATCAGTGAAGGCCTGGCCATCAAGGTGTATTTTATTTCTCACCAGGCACCTTTTGTCCGGCAAGAAGCTTCCTTGAATCCCCACTCCACTAACTAGAAAAGAGAACTTTGCCTAAGAGACCATAGATATAAAAGCTCTTCTTTTAAGAGGTCCAATTTAATTTGGAATCTAGCAACTTTTTGCCTTGAAGAGGAAAATGCTGTTTTTTAACAGCTATCCGGGAGTGTCAGCAAACTTTACGTAAAGGGCCTCGTGGTACACGTTTAGCCTCTGGTGGCCCAGTGGTGCCCAATTGCTCAACTCTATTAACATGAATGTAGTCATAGACCAGGTGTAATAATGAATGGGTATGACTGTTCCAATAAAACTTTATTCATAAAACAGTGGGCCTAATTTGAATCTGATCTGGCCCTGGACTACTGTTTGCTGACCCTAATCTAAAGTGTAGTCAGAGGCTTTTAGGAAGATACAATCCAATCTCCTGCCTCCAGTTTAAAATCTAATATGGAGGAAGAAGCAATCATGCCAAAAAAAATCTATTTACAGGAACATAAGGAACAATAAATAGGAGAAAAACTAACCAGTTTTTCTAATGAACTTGTCTACTTCATGCTTACACAATGTATGCTGGTGCTGTATCCAGCATAGGGTACTTGACAGTACCCTATAAAATAGGATTGAATCACACCTACAATGCATAGGGTTGTGATAAGTTAAGTGATATAATATTTGCGAAGCACTTAGCATGGTTCTTGACATAGGCGACAGAGTAAATATTAACTTCACTACAATCTTATTCTCGAGTGGAGGGTCTGAATTCAGAATGAAGTTAAGGATCCTATTCAGAACTCCTTGGGAGAACAAAATCCCTTTAACTTCATGATTTTTCTCTGGTATTTGCTATATTTTCCTCTTAAACCTGTGCTCATTGGGCAAAATCCACACCATCCTTATTAGATACCAAAGATCAGTGGTCTGGTGGGAGGCGGGGGGGCTCATAATGACTCCCTTTGTGAATCTGACTAGAAAAACCAATGGGTCTTCTCATTCTAAAAATACTTGCAGTTATGCCCGGCTGGTGTGGCTCAGTGGTTGAGCACTGACCCATGAACCAAGAGATCACTGGTTCAATTCCTGGTCAGGGCACATGCCCAGGTTGTGGGCCCGATCCCCAGTGGGGGGCATGCAGGGTGGCTAATCCATATTCTCTCTCATCAATGTTCTCTCTCTCTCTCTCCCCCTCTCCCTTCCTCTCTAATAATAAATTTTAAAAAAAATTTTTAATTCTTAAAATAAATAAATAAATAAAAGTACTTGCAGTTACAAAAGCTGCATGAAGCCCTTGTTTGGAGCCACCTAAGAACCTTTACCCTGGATTGTACCTCTGTCTTAACACAATGCCCTGGGTGGTCTACATCCTCTCATTAGAAGGCCTCTAGGCTCAAAACCACATGACTTTACCTGTCTTGAGGTTCTGCGTGGCTGCTGGAGTTGTAGGAGCAGAGGTGGCGGCCTTAGGTGATGTTGGAGCACTGGTGACCTCAGGTGGAGCTGGAAGTCAACATGATCGCAAGGATGAAGCAAGCAGCAGGAAACAAGGGCTCTGTGCGAGGCCTGCACGGCCGCATTGCCAATGAGACACCGTCCTCATGCAAAACTGGGCACTAATCTCCCCTGAACTCAGAGCTCCTGTCCGTGGTCAATGTGATTCGTACGGGGGGGGACTTGAAGAAAAGCTCAAGAAAACAGAAATAGCCGTACCAAAAAGTAAATAGTTCAGGAGGTTCAGAGGTAAAAAGGAATACCCAGGATAACACTGAAGCACTTTGAGAAAACCAGCCATGCTTATCAGATTTATGTATCTTCAGAAACATTGCTAAGGTGGGGAAAACGTCTAGAATTTGGACCTGTCATTGTCCTTTCAGTGGTGAATAACTTAATTAAAAAGTAGTTTCTGGCCCGGGCTGGTTTGGCTCAACGGTGAGAGCATCGACCTGTGGACTGAAGGGTCTCAGGTTCAATTGCTGGTCAAGGGCATGTACCTGCCCTTGACCGGAACTAGGGTCGGGGTTGCAGGTTCAATCCCTGGCCCTAGTTGGGGTTGTGAGGGAGGCAACCAGTTGATGTGTCTCTCTCACATCAATGTTTCTCTCTCTCTTTCTCTCCCCTCCTCTCCCTTATCACTCTGTCTAAAAATCAATGAAAAAATATCCTTGGGTGAGGATTAACAAGAACAAATTTTTTTAAAAAAAAAAGTAATTTCTAGCCTGACATCTGTGGCTCGGTGGATTGAGCATTGGCTCATGGACTGAGAGGTCCCAGTCTGATTCCCGGTCAGGGAACAAGCCTGGGTTGTGGGCTTGATCCCCAGTAGGGGGCGTGCAGGAGGCAGCCAATTGATGTATCTTTTTCGTATGGATATTTCTATCTCTCTCTCCCTTCCTCTCTCTCTAAAAAATCAATTAAAAAAATAAAAGTTTCTAAGCCTGGCCAGTTTGGCTCAGCGATTGGATCATTGGCCCTTGGACCAAAGAGTCGAGGGTTTGATTCCCAGTCAAGGAAATGTATCTGAGGTGCAGGTTCGATCGCCAGCCCTGGTCTGGGCCATGCGGAAGACAACAAATTGATGTGTCTCTCTCACATTAGGGTTTCTCTCCCTCTCTCCCTCCCACCATCCCTCCCTTCTATACTCTCTAAAAATCAATGAAAAAATATCCTCAGGTGAGGATTTTAAGAAATAAGTAATAATAAGAAGAACTTAAAAAGCAGTTTCTAGGCCCAGAAAGTTAAAAATAAATAGCATTCATTTCAATCAGGTTTTTTGTTTGTTTGTTTTTTGTTTTTTGTTTTGCATTTCAGTCAGTTTTTATGAACCCTCCAAAGAGACCTGCACCCGAATGAGAATTAACTCATACTCACTGGCAAGCTAGATCCCACAGACCATTTATACATTTGGTTAGGAGGTAGACAAGACTACAGGTAGTAACTTTGGCCCTCTCAAGAGTCAGAGGGGCATAGGATTCCAAACGACTTATGGACAGTCTCAGAGCTACTCAGAGAAGAGCTGAAACTAGAATTAAGCCCAAACACAGTGCCTGGCAAAAACGCAGATCAATGAGGCCTGATTCCAGAATGTGTACATTTTGCTTACCAGCCACCTTTTTTGAAAGAAGCTTCCTTAAAACTCAACTGTACTAACTATAAAAGAGACCCTTAGAGAGCAGACAATTGGTTTGAATGCTCTTCTTTTTAGAGAATCAGTTTACTTTGGAATAAAGCCAATCTGTGCCTTGAAGAGGATAAACGTTTTCCGACATACATTTGTGAGTTTCTATTACACGCAAGGCGTTAGTTTAAAGCACAGGACAGCAAACTCTCGGTACAGGGCCAGACAGTGAAGGTCTTAGGCTCTGGGGGTCCTATGGCCTCAGTGGCAGCTGCTCAACTCTTTCAGTGTGAAAGCAGCCAGACCAGAGAGTATAAGAAATGGGTATGGCTGTTCCAATAAAACTTAATTTATAAAACAGTTGGTGGGCCCATTTTGAATCTGATCTGGCTCTGGGCTATATAGTTGGCTGACCCTCATCCAGAGGCTTTTAAGAAGTGTACAGTCTAATCCTTTCCCCCCAGTCTAAATTCTAATATAGAGAAAAAAGCAAGCATGCAAAAAATGTGATCAAAGGAGCATAAAGAACAATACGGACGAGGAAACCAAGACAGATGTAGTAATGAGCTTGTCTTCATCAGTGGACAATATCTTCCCCAGGGAGAAGCTAGGAAGACACAAGTGCAGATGCAGGTGAGCAAAAGCTCCAGCAGACAGTTGAAGCTGAGCCTATGAAAACGGAAAGAAAACTTAAGCAGAGACTTGGCTTTCGGAGGCTCAGTCATGGACCCACTTCCCACCGGATAGAGCAGTGGCCTTGTGAGCGCCCCCCTATTAAAGAGTAGGTGGGCACGATAAAGCCTCCTACTTGTTCCTTTCCATGTCATTTTTTTAAATTCAGACAGAACAAAATAATTTCGCAAAGCCAATCATGTCGTCATCATGATCTCCTCTCCAGGGCTCCTCCTCATGGTCTGTAGATCTCTATCTCAGCAGCGCACTGGGCTTCTCTGAACTGCCTCCCAGACAGACATTCCACAAAGTCAGCTCTGTTCTCTCTCTGCACTGACCTCGTCTCACTTGCCTTTTATTTATTTAATCCTCCCCCGAGGACATTTTTGCATTTATCTTCAGATACAGCAGGAGGGAGAGTGGGAGGAAGAGAGAGAGAAAGAGAAACATTGATGTGAGAGAGACACATCGACTGGTTGCCACCCACACGACCCCAACCAGGGCCAGGGACAAACTGCAACCGAGGTACGTGCCCTTAGCGGAACCGAACCAGAGAGTCTCTGGTTTAAGAACCGACACTCTAACCGCTGAGCCAAACCGGCCAGGGCTATTTATTTATTTTTAATCCTTACCCGAGGGTATTTTTAAATTTATCTTGAGACAGTGGGAACAGAGTGGGAGGGAGAGAGACACATCCACTGGTTGCCTCCTGTACAACCTCAACCTGGGCCGGGGATGAACCGCAACTGAGGTACATGCCCTTGGCTGGGATGAAACGGGGTCTCCTTGGTCCATGGGCTGATGCTCTAACCGCTGAGCCAAACTGGCCAGGGCTTAAAGGAAAATAACCTAGTTCCAAAATTGGAAGTTTGAAAATAAAGTTTATTTCATTTAAAAATAAATAAATAAAAAAAGATACAGCCAATTAAGGTCACAACTATTATATTCTACTGTCAATATAAGACTTCACCAGAAGGAGACTGATTAAGAAAGAACATGGGGGAGCTGGGATATTAGGAGGTCCATCTCAAGAGAGAAGAAACGTAAATTTGCCAGATTTAGGGATTTCATGTAAATCTTAAAAGCAACTGGTAAACAGTTATTGAGATGCAAAAGTTTTTATACTGCCATAGTCATTTTAATTTTTAAACAACCAATATCTCGATATAATGCCAGTTATGCTTCATGAAATCTAAGATAGGACAGAGCTTGGGGAAGGAACTTTATGTTTCCACAATGTATATGCAACAAGACTGAGTTGATAAATGCGAAACTTAGGTGATATATCTACTTGACAGTATCATATAAAATATTACCTACTTTATACATTTGAAAGTCTCCATAATAGTTCTTAAAATATTAAGAGAAGACATTTCATAATTTTTCTAGGTCATTATCTCAGAGAAAAAGGGCAGTTGTTGACACTGAATAAATGCAGCTGGAGAAAATGCTCACTATGTTCCCAGCGGAGCAGGGAATGCTTTTCCCTGAGCTAACCAGCATTTCTGAAGCACCGCTTGGAAAGAGAGTCCCTGGCCGGGAAGATGCTCTAGCCTATGTTTTTTTTTTTTTAATTTTTTTTCATTTATTGATTTTAGAGAGAGAGGAAGTAAGAGAGAGAGAGAGATAAAAACATCAATGATAGAGAACATAGGTCGGCCGCCTCCTGCATGCCCCCCACTGGGGATCGGGCCCACAACCTGGGCATGTGCCCTGATCAGGATTCAAACTGGTGACCTCTTGGTGCATGGGTTGATGCTCAACGACTGAGCCACACTGGCCAGACTAGTCTATGTTCTGGAACCAAGGTTGTTTTTAACACTTCGTTCTACACAAATAAGTAATTCTATTTCCCATCAGTTATTAACCTGTTGTTAACCAGGCGGGACATATAAATACATCAAACGTTGCATACAGTTAAAAGGGAATTCCCCGGTTAACAGGTTAAAACACAGGATTGTAGGACCTCCCCCCTCCCCCCCGCTTTCTTCATTAAAGGAAGAGAATGTTACTACTAACAGGAAACATCTCCGTTCACCCATGAGGCGTGATCACAGGAAGAAGGAAGGCAAGCTCACCTGGCTTTACCACCAATGATACGTGGATTTTCAAATCATTAAACCACCCAGCGCCCTGAACATGACAACAATAGGTGCCACTGTCAGACTCAGCTGCATCCTCTATGGTCAAGGACACATTCCCCCGGGGAATGATGCCGTGGAGATCATAACGCTTATCCTTCCGAAAGGTGACTCTGTATCCATCAGTCCAGATGAGTTGATTTGAGCATTTAAATGTAGCACAGCCCCCTCGGCCCCAGCACATGGACGTGATCTCAGAAGCTGTTGAGTAGGTGCAGGGTAGCGTGACAGGCTGACCCACCACGCCGGTCACATGTGCCTGAGAATCCACAGCGTCTGCAAATAAGAAGGCAGAGCAGGAGGCCTCAGTGTTTCAATTTTACCTTTATTTCTACTTTTTTCTTTTTGTAGTTTATTTCATTTCTAATCATGTGTCTTTACATCTTGAATCTAAACATTTTTAAGTGTTTTTCTGTATACATCTTTATCAGTTGTTTTTTGATAGTTGTAAATAACACATAAACTTTTTTCTGTATTTAGGATTATTTACTAAGAGCATAAATTTCTAAAAGAGAAATTATCAGGATAAAGACCAGAAGTATTTCCCATGTCTTCTTTTCAAATTTCTTTCCAAAATGTTTGAACCAAATGGCACTCTAGCAATACATGAGCATGTATTTCATTCTGTGTTTGACACATATCGCTTTATTAAACCGTAATATATACATGTTGCTTTTCCCCTCCTAGATCCAATCACTGTCTCAGCTGAAATACATATAAAAATTCCATGCAATTAAAGTTTTAATTTTTACTGCAATTTTTTATTTATATTTTTAAATATCTTGTTATTGATTTTTTTTCTTTTCTTGAGTGAGGAAGGGAGAGAGAGAGAGAAATATCTATGTGAGAGAGAAACATCAATCAACTGACTCCTGCATGACCCCTACTGGGGACTGAGCCCACAACCTGGGCATGTGCCCTGACCAGGAATCAAACAGGGACCTCTCAATTCATAGGATGCTGTTCAATCCACTGAGCCACATCAGCCAGGCTTCACTGCAATTTGTTTTTCTTTATTGATGTTAGAGTGAGAAGAAGACAGAGGGAGAGAGATAGAAACATTGATTAGAGAGAACATAGATTGGCCACCTCCTACATGCCCCCCCCCCCAGGTGTTGGGCCCACAACCTGAGCATGTGCCCCAACTGGGAATCAAATTGGCAACCTCTTGGTGCATGGATTAATGCTCAACTACTGAGCCACACCAGCCAGACTTACTGCAATTTTTAAAATGTCTATTGCAAACAAAGTCACCTCAGCCCCCCTCCTCTGTCATAAAAATAAGCAGAGCTAATGTTTTCTTTAAAGTATTGATGGCTTAAAGACAGAAGTCTAATAAACTCATCAGAAATCAATTTTTAGATAAAGCATTTCTGTGGGGATGGGGGATTGGTAGATGGACAATTGGTAACCTTGTGATATGCATTCTCACAACCCAACTAGCCTAGGATCAAAGTGTGTGGACAGACAGGTTTGACTGATAGACAGGAAGACTGCCTTGCTTGCATTGAATGCTTCTTTTGCACGTGAATAAGATAAGGTTTGCATGGCAATGGCTAGATCACCGCTTCCAGTGGACATATGGGTCCTGGGACTCAAGAATGTCTGGGTTTGTTGTTTTTTAGTTTTAAAGTCTCTTTTCTCCATAAAAGGCGAGAGACAAGGCTAGGCTGTATGGTTTGCAGAGATATCATCTCAAGGAAATGATTTATATAAATCTACTTGGAACCTGGGGGAACCAATCTGCAAATAAATGGGACTGTGTCCAAAGATCTGGAGCATTTGCTCTCTTGCAAAGCTCCCTCTCATTCCAAGCAGCATGTGCTTGTAATTCATTGCATTGCACCTGGCAGGTCAAGAGTCAACACTTGTCAATACAGTGATACCTCGGTTCTCGAACGCCTCGGTTTTCGACCAAATGGAGATTCGAGAAACTTTTGTCTCGAATCCGAACAAATATTTGGAACTCGAACTTCCGAGTTGAGCCGAATGGCGTTCATTCGGCCCAGCGCGCCTTGCTTGCGTCATCAGTGTGAGTGCAGAGAGAGAGTCACGCTTTGTGGAGTCACGCTTTCCTATTGGTTTCATTGCTTCGGTTCTCGAACAATTTGGTTCTCGACCGTCCTCCTGGAACGAATTATGTTCGAGAACCGAGGTATCACTGTACTTCCAGAAAGAGCCAAAGCTTATGGTGCACTTGAGGACAGTCTAAAAAAATCCAAGTGGATATCTGTTCTCATGAGTGGATGACAAGCACTTGAGCAAGGCCCACTTCCCCTGGTGAACCCAGAGAACTGGAGAATATTCAATCAAGGACTAAATTATGCCACTTAAAAACAAACGCTCTCCCCTGTGGTAGTGGCATTAACATTCTATATTGTCTTCATGACAATCGACAGCACAAAATGTACAATGAAATACAAGCCCCTTTCCCATCCTCTCCCTATTTCTTCTTTCCATCCCCTCCCACACCATGAAAATGCTAGTACTATTTTTCACATACACGAAGAAGTTCGTGCATACCCAACTGTCTACCCACCCTCCTTTGCCTTAAAAACAAATGGCAGCATATGACACACTGTTATACTTGGCCATAGACTTTGTAATTCATGGCATTTAAGCAATTTCTTTGGAGCAGGATTTCAGCCCAGTTCTTTGCTCACTAGGTGACCACTACCTCCCAGCAGAGCCCAGGCACATCCATCCTCCTCCACCACCCCACACATCCCTGGGCTCCCCAGGCTCAGAGCTTCCAGACCCAGCCCACCTATCCACTTACCTGTCCAAAGTAGTATGAGGCCTGTGAAGGCTACCCAAGGATGCATGATGGCGTTAGCCTAAAGGACAGAGAAAACGGACTGTTTGGTGTGCCCACGACAGATAGTGTGGAAACAATCTTAATTCTCAGATTGCAACTTTTCCTTTCACCCTGACTGGGGGAACCTCATGAGCCTCCCCTGCTATGGCTGGGAGCCCACGGACAGTGGCTTCGGGTCTCTGTTGGCTCAGGGTGGTTGAGGGCTCTGCGCCTTAAACAGACAGGCAAAGCTGTCCTTGGAAGCAGCCCCTGTTTCCCAGATTCTTTATTCTTGTATATGGTATAAAACAGTTTCATTATTTTGCATATGTCTATCCAGTTTTCCCAGCATCATTTATTAAAGAGACTGTTTTTCACCTTTTGTACATTCTTGTCCCTTTGTCATAGATTAATAACCACATAGGTGTGAGATTATTCCTGGGTTCTCTATTCTGTTCTGTTGATCTATGTGTCTGTTTTTGAGCTAGCACCATGCGATTTTGATGACTATATCCTTGTAGCATAGTTTGATATTAGGTATCATGAAACCCCCAACTTTGTTCTTCTTTCTCAAAATTGCTTTGGCTATTCAGGCTCTGCTATGATTCCATACAAATTTTTAGAATTATTTGTTCTATTTCTGTAAAAAATGCCGTTGGTATTGTAATAGGTGTTGCTTTGACTCTGTAGATTGCTTTGGGTAGTATGGACATTTTAACTATGTGAATTCTTCCTATCCATGAACACAGCATATCTTTCCATTTATTTGTAACTTCCTCAATTTCTTTTCTCAATGTCCTATAGCTATGTGGCTTATTTTCTCCCAAATTATTTTTTTTTAATTTGGTGCTAGTGGCAATATGTATACTAACACCTTTTGACACCCACCTACTTCCTATGAGGCATTCATTATTTTAGCTGCCCACTGGGCGTGTCCATTTGGGAGCTGCTTAGGGGGGACGCTGGTGGTGGCTGAGGCTATTTGCCACGTGTGCCAGTCTTGGGGCCGGTTGGTTGGAGCTATCTTGTAAGCCCAGGCCAGTCCCTACTTGTGCCAGGCTGAGGACACTTAGAAAAGGCTCCAGTGTAAGCTGAACAGGCCTCCATGTGTGCTGGGCTCGGGGCTTTTTAGCAGGAGCTCCAGGGAACTGAGGCTAGCCACTGCTTGGGCTCCCCTGGAGCCTGGGGGCATTTGGGAGAGGCCAGCAGGGCATGTCCAGTCTAACCACGGATCCTGTGGAGCTGGAGGGCCGTTAGGACAGACTGCAAGGACTGTCAGAAGCAGCCCATTACTCCTGGGGAGCTTAAGGGCACTTGGGACAAACTGCAAGGGCCCCAAGGCTCCAGTGAAGGGACTGCAGCTGCTTCAAGGGGCTCCAGCAGGTGAGCGAGCTGAGTGGTGCAGGGTCTCAGGGAAAAGCCAGCGCAGGGCAGACAGTGGAGCCAGGTTAAAGGAGAGGGGGAGATTTTGTGCCTGCCTGCTCAGGGCCAGCGGGCTAGGAGAGAGCTTGACACAGGAATAGCAGCACCATCAGAGCTTCTGTCCCGACAGTTCCTACCGATCCCTGCCCCTCCAGCCTCTGCCCGAGTCGGTTCAGTGCCGCCCCTTGTGCCCCAGGCCTTTCTGGAACTGCTGCATCTGTGCCCGAGCTTTGAGTGAGGAAGTTCATGCTCACCCCTCTAAGCCCAGTGTTGAGGTCTCTTACAACCCTTTCTCAATCTCAGATGTAATCACTCGTCTTCCCAGCACAGGTGCCCCATGGCAGGAGCCTAGTATGAGGCTCAGACCTCTGGCTCGCCAGTGGGGACCCCTGAAGCCCAGCTAGCCCTCCCATTCATTGATCACCACACAGGGGGCATGGTACCTGCCCAGACCACATATCCACCTCTCTTACCTGTGCCGATGAGGCTCCTTCTTTACACCCTTAGCTAGGGCAATGCTCCTCAGCTAGTCTCCAGGTGGCTCTCTGTGCCGGCTGTTCAATAACTTAGTTTTAATTCCGATGGGCTCCTGGGAGAAGGTGGGTTCAGGATCTACCTATTCAGCCACCTTGACTCCGCCCCCTGGAATTTTCCCTAATTTCTATGGGCTCAATCACTGTTGTCCTAATTTGCCATATAATACTCAGAAAGTTTAAGCTACAAAGTTCTGATCTTCTCTTCCAGAGGACTGTACCTACGAGTGAGTTAGGAGGTTTCTAGTTACCCTGGGATTGTCACTGACCCTTCCTCCAGGGATTCTTATGGATAAAGACAACTTTCTTCCAGTATTTCATTTTTATCTCTTTGTCACATCTTTCCATAAGATTCTTGCGAAGTATCTTTGAAAATCAAACTTCTCCAGTCTGCCACAATCTTCTTGCTGAATTTATCTATTTACTAACTTAAATAGATTATAAAGAGATATGAGTGGACTAGAACAGCATTTATTCTCTGCTAGACTGTGTTGAAAAGATTCAGCAAAGATCTAGATTTTAGGTCAGAGTCTGGACCCAAAAGGCCATGCAAATTTTTAGACCGTTTATACATGGAGGGATCTTAAAGTACTTGGGGTCAACTCCTACATTTCCTCCACATCCATTTTACAGAAAATCGCTGGGTCAAAGAGACTTTATAGCACTGGGCTTTTGCAAAATTTATTATTTATTAATATCAAAATATTATGAAATATTTTCTAGCTCTGGTAAGTGTGGCTGAGTTGGTTGAGCATTATCCCATGCGAGGAAAGGTTGCCAGTTCGATTCTCGGTCAGGGCACATACCTGGGTTGTGGGTTTGATCCCTGGTTGGGGCACATTTGGGAAGGCAGCCGATCCATATTTCTCTCTCATATTGATGTTCCTCTCTTTGTCTCTCCCTCCCTCTCCCTTGCTCTCTCTCAAAAATCAAGTTTAAAAAAAAAAAAAAACCATTAAAAATCGTTTTCTAAATGCGACCCACCCACAAAACAACTATATTAAAATAATATGCACATTTAAATAACTATCCCACCACCATCACCGCACATGAATAACCATTGCAAAAAAACCTCACTGCTTCCCAGGGGCAAGAAAGTCACAGTATAAGCAGAAGGAATTTGAACGAGAATTCAGAACCAAAAAGCCACTTCTGTGAGCAATGAGTAACTTGGAATGTCCTTAATGACTGCAGTCAGTATGACTGAGAAAGGATGCAGAGGACCTAGAAGTCTGGAACTAACTTTTCTGACTCATACTGTTTTAACCCAGGAGATCGACACTCAGATTCCATTTTTCAGTTTTTGGGGATGCTTTATTACCTGCACAGGGACTGCAGCCAACCTACACAGAGGAGAACTGCAGCCCCGAGCTCAGGGGGAGGGTTGCTTGTATAGGGCAGGGGTCATTCAAGAGCTTAGCAGAGCAAGCAAGCTGCTTGTACAGAAGCAGAGGCAGTTAGCGATTAGCAGGAGGGAATGGAGGTGGGGGGGAGCTGAGGCGAAAGGGAACTGGGTGAACTGGGTCAGCACACATCTGTCCTGCTATTCATTCCATTATCCAAGTTTTAAAAACTAACAAATTCGAGACGGATATCAGCGGTCAGTCAGGTGCAATACACACATGTTGAACAGTTACAGTTTTATGGAGTAAAGGGAGCTTCAGTTTCTCCCTATCAGTTTCTTTACAGAGCATGCAGGACACTCTGGCCTTGGGGCCGTTTCTGTCCTCCCTTTTCCTGAAGGATGTTGCTTTTCAAATTCCCAGTGATGGTCAAACTCTGGTTAATTTTTATGGGGCTAAAGCCCTCTATAACATTCCCCATTGTTCATCTTGCTGCCTCTGAGGTTGTTAATTAGGGCAGCTCAAAGACAAGTTGGATTCTAAGGACAGTGAGCTACAATACTGCTCTTTGCACAGGTCTCCACTGAAAATTGGCCAAAATGTGAGCCCTACTTAAGCTGGAGAACCTTTCACCCAAATGGTGCAGGGCCTCACTCCTCTTCCCACTTCCCAGCTGCGTCCCAGGGAAGGTGATGGAAAGTCTTAAAAATGGAATCTTTAGGGCGTCTCTACTTGTCTCCAAAAGGATTCAGACTTTCTCAATAGAAACCTGGAGACAAATGAATGTGTTTTGTTTACTTTTTAAATTTTGTTAAATTTTAAATTGAACTGAAAATGAAATTTAATTTTAAACGGGAATACGCTCCAACGCTGCCCCCAAACCAGCGCAGGCACCCCTTGGAGATCATCCCGGCAGTCCTAGACTGCCCCGCGGGAACCCAATCATTTCGCTGATGGAGGGCCCCGCCTCCAGTTTGTAAAAATAACACCTGCAAAACACAATAAAGGGAAGTGCAAAGGAGGAACCACTTGGAATTTCTGCTTCTGGAATTTCAAACCTAGATAAAGTAATAAATAAAACATAGTAAGACCTTACTTTTCAGTCTAAAACGCTGAAGGGGCCACTGTTCTCAGAGCCTGTGAGTCTCTTAGGCGGAGCTCTGGAGAGAACAAATCCTTCAGCGCCTGTGCGTACAGACCACACATTCAGCATCACCACACTGTTACTAAGTCATCACTTGTCGTCCCCAGGGCCCCCGTAGTAGCTTTCTGCTCTTCTTTCTACCATCTCCCCACTCCAAATACTTGATATAAAGTAGATCCTGCCCTGGCCGGATTGGCTCAGCGGTTAAAGCGTCGGCCTGCGGGTCCTGAGAGACCCGGGTTCGGTTCCCGCTAAGGGCGCGGACCTCGGTTGCAGTTTGTCCCCGGCTCTGGTCAGTCGTGCGGGTGGCAGCCACTCGATGTGTCCCTTTCACATCGATGTTTCTCTCTCTCTCTCTCTCTCTGTTCCTCTCTCTCCCTCCCACTCTACCTGAACAAAAAATGGAAAAATGTCCTCGGGTGAGGATTAAAAAAATAAAATAAAATAAAGTAGATCCTACTCTGAAAACCAGGGTTCAATCCTATCTTGTGCCACACTCTATAGCCAACCTTGTTTTTTTTTTTTGTTTTTTTTTTTTAATTCTCACCTGAGGCGACACCGTGCCAGGCTCAGGCTATTTGAACAGTTTAACCCAAAAGATGGATATCAGACCAAACCATACAATTTATATCAACGATACGAATGACACAATTTAAAAAGAATTGAAGAGATCCCTCTATCCACTGTTTTCTCAGTATGGCCATTTGTAGATATTGTAGCTTTAAAGACTATGAAGATGAGGGGGCAAGCCTTTGTTGTATTTAAAGAATTGGGCTCATCCACAAAGGCCTTGAGACAGTTACAAGGATTTCCATTTTATGGTAAACCAATGCGAATCCAGTATGCAAAAACAGATTCTGGTATAATATCTAAAATGCGTGGCACCTTTGCTGACAAAGAAAAGAAAAAAGAGAAGAAAAAAGCCAAAACTGTGGAACAGACAGCACTGACTGCTAAGAAGAAGCCTGGTCAGGGAGCACCAAATTCAGCTAACAGCCAAGGAAATGCAGCCCCAAATCCTCAGGTCCCTGATTACCTGCCAAACTATATTTTATTCCTTAATAATTTACCAGAAGAATCGAATGAGAGGATGCTGTCCATGCTGTTTCATCAGTTCCCTGGTTTCAAGGAAGTACGTTTGGTACCTGGGAGGCATGACATTGCATTTGTTGAATTTGAAAATGATGGACAGGCTGGAGCTGCCAGGGATGCTTTACAAGGATTTAACATCACACCATCCCCTGCCATGAAGATCACCTCTGCCAAGAAATAACATTTGGGCCCTGGCCAGTTTGGCTCAGCGGTTAGAGCGTCAGCCTGCAGTCCAGAGACACCCGGGTTCGGTTCCCGCTAAGGGCACGTACCTCGGTTGCAGTTTCTCCCTGGCCCTGGTTAGTTGTGCGGGTGGCAGCTACTCGATGTGTCCCTTTCATGTCGATGTTTCTCTATCTCTCTCTCTCCCTCCCACTCTATCTGAACAAAAAATGGGAAAATGTCCTCGGGTGAGGATTAAAAAAAAAAAAGAAATAACATTTGGGATGGTTGTCTTTAAAGGACTTGGTGTTATTTATAGTGTTTGTTTTCATAACAGTTGGTCAGGCCATTTTAAGAGCTGGGGGTGGGAGGAAGTGAAATCAAAGTTTTTAAAAATTACCTATGAGTGAACTATGAAATGTGAAGGCCTTCATTTTGTACAATAAACTTTTATTTGTATTTAAAAAATAATAATACAAATAATAAAATAAATTCTCACCTGAGGCTATTTTTCTATTTATCTTCAGATAGAGTGGGAGGGAGAGAAAGGGAGAGAGAGAGAAACATCGATGTGAGGGGGACACATCGACTGGTTGCCTCCTGCATGGCCCTCACACCACCAGGGCCGGGGACGAACCACAACAGAACCACAACTGAGGTGTGTGCCCTTGACCGGAATCGAACCCACAGCTCATGGTCCACGGGCCGATGCTCTACCACTGAGCCAAACCAGCCAGGGCGCGACCTTGGTCTTGAAGTTAACCTGTCCCAGCTTTCATTTCTTTTTCCTCCTTTATTAGTGAAGCGGTGCGGCAGGGTGGCCACGCCACAGACAGAGCCCCCTTCGTTTCGTCCATGAAGAGAAGGGCAGAAGGATAGCGTTGGTAAAATGCTTAAATCTTATCTTTTCATTACGGAAGAAAATGGAGATCATGAACCAATTACAGAAGCATGTAAAAGGAAATGTGAAATTCTATCTCTGGACCATTTGGCCGTGTGGGGTAAACATCTTCATTTCGGTATATTCTTGCAGACTGTTTTACCCATGTCCCTGCCAGAGGATAGAACCACTGGACCGGAAACCATGGGCACCAAAGACAGGACACCAAGGGGGCAGAGCCCTTCCCTCTGCCTCCATATATTACTAGGACCCCCACCAAGAAGAAGAGGGTCTTCCAGATTTTTTTTCTTTTTATTATTTTTTTCCCTCCTTCCAATCCCTCCCCAACCCTGCCTCTTCCCAAGCTGTTGTTGTTTACATCCATTGGTCATGCATACATGCATGTAAGTTCTGTGGTTTATCTCCTCCATCCCCCGCCCCACTCCTCTGAGGTTTGTCAGTCTGTACCCTACTTCTGTGTCTCTGGGTCTATTTTGTTCATCAGTTTGTTTTGTTCCTTATATTCTACAAATAAGTGAGATCATGTGATGTTTGTCTTTCTCTGCTAGGCTTGTTTCACTTAGGATAATACTCTCCAGGTCCCTCTATGTCGTCTCAAAGGATTGAAATCTTTCTTTCTTACAGCTGCATAGTATTCCATTGGGTACATGTACCACTGCTTTTTTATCCATTCGTCTACTGATGGACACTTGGGCTGTTTCCAGATCTTAGCTATTGTAAATAGTGCTGCTATGAACATGGGGGTACATATATTTTTTCTGACTAGTGTTTCAGGCTTCTTGGGGTATATTCCTAGAAGTGGAATCACTGGGTCAAATGGTAGTTCAATTTTTAACATTTTGAGGTATCACTATATTGTTTTCCATAGTGGCTGCACCAGTCTGCATTCCCACCAGCAGTGCACTAGAGTCCCCTTTTCTCCACACCCTCGCCAACACTTGTTGTTTGATGATTTGTTGATGGCGGCCATTCTGACAGGTGTGAGGTGATACTTCATTGTTGTTTTAATTCATATTTTTTAAGGGAAAGAAAAGAAAAAATATGCATCAATTATATATTCTATTCTAGAACATTTTTTTCTTTAGACTTAGCAATAGTAAATAAGCGTCAGAGGAAGGGTTTCATCTGCTTCCTCACTCTTCTATTCCTAGGGACTGAAACAGTGCCTGACAAAGTGGATGCCAATGAATGTTCACAAAATCAATGGATGGAGCAAAGACTCCTGCCTGTCAGACTAGAAGTTCTATGGGGTCAGAAATGCACCTATTAGGTCTCTCTCTCTGGTCTCAGCATCAGACTAACTGGCACATAGGAAGCACTAATAGATCATTGTTAGATTAGCAAAACAACTCAGTGATGAAACCAGTGAATCCTTTATACCTGCACTAGTGTGCTGATGGACCACAATAACCACCTGTTCCCCTACTGATGGGAAAGTCTCTTGCAAACATCACTGCAATAATAATTCATGTATACATACACTTGTGTAAGATTTCTGGCCTGGCCAGTGTAGCTTAGTGGTTGAGCATCAACCCATGCACCAAGAGGTCGCTGGTTCAATTCTCGGTCAGGGCACATGCCCAGGTTGGGGGTCAAATCCCCAGTGGGGGACGTGCAGGAGGCGGCCAGTCAATGTTCTTTCTCATTGATGTTTCTATCTCTCTCTCCCTCTCCCTTCCTCTCTCTAAAAAAAAAAGGGGGGGGGAGGAAATGGCGGCGGAGTGAACGGAAGCTACACAGACCGTCTCCCAGAACGAAACTGGAATTACAACTATAACACAGACAAATCGACAGGAAAAACCAACAGAAAAGCAGCTTGGAGGACCATACAACGAGGGACACTGACTCCATCCCGGTAGGCTTGCGAAGGCGCGAGACGGGGCTGGGAGCCCGCGGTCGGCAGCTCGGCAGCGGCCTTAGCTATAAGCGGCGCCCTCGGGTCACACTCCCAGGCGGCCCCACAGCGCAGCCGGGACAGAGGCTGAAACAGCCACAGCCACTCACCTTGGGCTCCGGCGGAGGGAGGGCAGACTGGACTGGAACTGTGTCGGGACACTCGGGGTTTGGAGGGCGCTCAGAGCTTTGGCTGAGTGCAGCCACTCAGGACGGTGGCCACATTGCTCCTTCCCAGGGCTCTGAGAGAGGCAGCAGCCCCTCCCTCGGAGATCCAACCCCACCCTGTGGGCCATTGAAGTGCTAATTGAGGCTCACTAACTACCAGCATCTGCCCCACCCTCGTGAAAGCCCCTTGGCTGAGCACCAGAGGGAGTTTTTCAATCAACTGACAACACAAAACTCAACAAGTAACCTAGACTGCTAGCCTCGAGGCAAAAAGCCAGAGGATAACAGTACATTTCCTGGGCTGGCAACTTTAACCAGGAAAGTAAGACTTGACAGTGGTGTTCAACGTGGGTCCTCCCTCGCTCATCTAAACACAGGAGAGGGAGCCACAAACAGCAGAACACCAATACCCACAGGGAAAACTTGACAGGCTCCAAAGCCCACAGTGATAGCCAAAATGGTGAAACACAAAAACAGAAGCCAAATGAAAGAGCAAGAGACCTCCACCGAAGATGAGATCAATGTGGAGCAATGAGGCATGTTAACAGAGCTAGAATTCAGAGCCATGATCTTGAGGAAGCTGAACAGCATGAGTAAGGACATAGAGACACTGAAAATAAGCCAATTGGAAATTAAAAACCAATAAGAAGAGATGAAAAATGACATATCAGAAATGAAAACCACATTGGAAGGTTTAAAAAGCAGAGTAGAGGAAGCTGAGGACCGGATCAGTGAATTAGAAGACAGGGTAGAAAAAATCAACCAATCAGAAAAACAAAAGGAAAAAACTATTAAAAAACAGGAAGACAGCTTAAGAGAACTATGGGACAACTTGAAACGTAATAATATTCGCATCATAGGAGTCCCTGAAGAAGAAGAAAATGAGCAAGGCATAGAGAATATATTCAAAAAAAATAGTGAGAGAAAACTTCCCTAATTTGGTGAAGGAAGAAGGCATTCAAGTTCAAGAAGCACAGAGAGTCCCAAGTAAGAAGAACCCAAACAGGCCCACACCAAGACACATAGTAATTAAAATGCCACAAATTAAAGACAAAGAGAGAATCCTAAAAGCAGCAAGAGATAAGCAACAGGTAAACTACAAAGGGAACCCCATAAGGCTCTCAGCTGCTTTCTCACAAGAAACACTACAGGCCAGAAGAGAATGGCATGAAGTAATCAAAGTCATGAAAAACAAGAATCTGAATCCAAGACTACTCTACCAAGCAAGGCTATCATTCAAAATAGAAGATCAAATAAAAAGCTTCCCAGACAAAAAAAGGCTAAGGGAATACATTAGCACCAAACCAGCACTGCAAGAAATGTTAAAAGGACTGCTGTAATTAGCAGTAGAAATGGGAAGAAAAATAGAACCACACTAAACAAAAATGGCAATAAATAAGTACATAGCAATAATCACCTTAAACGTAAATGGATTGAATGCTCCCATAAAAAGACACAGAGTAGCTGATTGGATAAGAAAGCATGACTCATCTATATGTTGTTTACAAGAGACCCACCTCTCAAGAAAAGACTCACATAGGTTGAAAGTGAAGGGATGGAAAAAAATTTTCCAAGCAAATAGAAAGCAAAAAAAAGCTGGGGTAGCAATTCTCATATCTGATAAAATAGATTTCAAAATGAAGGCCATAACTAAAGACAAAGACGGCCACTACATAATATTGAAAGGATCTACCAACAGGAAGATATAACCTTGATAAACATATATGCACCCAATACAGGAGCACCAGCATATATTAAAAATCTTCTGGAGGACTTCCAAGGAGAACTCGACAACAATACAATCATAGCAGGGGACTTCAACACCCCACTCACATCACTGGATAGATCCTCTAGACAAAAAAATTAGCAAGAAAACAGAGACTCTAATTGAAGCACTAGACCAAATGGATTTAATAGATATCTACAGAGAATTACACCCCAAAACTACAGAATACACATTCTTCTCATGTGCACATGGGACATTCTCAAAGATAGACCACATGATAGGACACAAACTAAATCTCTACAAGTTCAAGAAAATTGAAATCATATCAAGCATCTTCTCAGATCACAATGGCATGAAACTAGAAATCAATTGCAACAAGAACATGCAAAGACATTTCAACACATGGAGGCTAAATAGCATGTTATTAAACAATGAATGGGTCACCGAGGAGATCAAGGAAGAAATTAAAAACTTCCTGGAAACCAATGAAAATGAACACACAACAACACAAAATCTATGGGATGCAGCGAAGGCAGTTCTGAGAGGGAAGTTCATAGCACTACAGGCCTACCTCAAAAAACAAGAAAAATTTCTAATTGACTGTCTAACCTCACAACTTAAAGAATTAGAAAGCTAACAAAAAGGAAACCCCAGAGCAAGTAGAAGGAAGGAAATAGTAAAGATCAGAGCAGAAATAAATGACATAGAGACCAAAAAAACAATTCAAAGGATCAATGAAACAAAGAGCTGGTTTTTCGAAAAGATAAACAAGATTGATGGACCCTTAGCTAGACTCACCAAGAAACAAAGAGAGAGAACCCAAATACACAAAATCAGAAATGAAAGAGGAGAAGTAACAACCAGCACCACGGAAATACAAAAGATCATTAACAACTACTATGAACAACTATATGGCAACAAATTCGACAATCTAAGCGAAATGGACAAATTTCTAGAAACACACAGTCTCCCAAAACTATTCCAGGAAGAGATAGAAAACTTGAACAGACCAATAACAACTAAGGAAATTGAAGAGGTAATCAAGACTCTCCCAGCAAACAAAAGCCCAGGCCCAGATGGCTTCACGGGGGAGTTTTACCGAACATTCAAAAAAGAACTAACACCCATTCTCCTCAAACTATTTCAAAAAATTCAAGAACAAGGAAGACTTCCAAACACGTTCTATGAAGCCAGCATAATTCTAATTCCAAAACCAGAAAAAGACACTACGAAGAAAGAAAACCACAGGCCAATATCCCTGATGAACATAGACGCCAAAATCCTGAACAAACTATTAGCAAATCGGATCCAGAAATACATCAAAAAAATTATTCACCATGACCAAGTGGGATTCATTCCAGGGATGCAAGGCTGGTACAATATTCGCAAACCAATAAATGTGATACACCACATAAACAAAATGAAGAATAAAAACCACATGATCATATCAATAGATGCTGAAAAAGCATTCGACAAAATCCA